CAAATTTTTTAGCCGACAATTTTCAAGAAATCACTTCGGTAGTACATCAATATTTTGGAAGACAACTAAAAAAAAATAATCTGTAGACATGAAAATTTTCTGATTTATATGGAAATTTCAAACTCGTGAATCAAGTTGAGGTTCTTCCATAGAACCGGCGTAAGAAGGAAGTTCTGAACAGACTTGTGAGAAATGAATTTAACAGGTGGAAAATAAACGTGCTAAATGTCAAAATGTATCCATTGTCTTTGATGGATCAGGGATACCATGTTTTCTATTTGATATTCCCAGCGAATGAAAACTTGACGCGCAAAAAACATGTGAACCGACTCTCTGATGTGTTAATTTTTCATTGATTAAAGATACTGCCAATGTGATATTTCAATTGAAGGAAAAAAAAAATGTATAAATAAATATTGATATCAACGAAGACAAAGCAACTCAATGGAAGACTTCAATCTCTTAGCGAACAACAGTTAACCTTATTACGAGAGAAAACCAGTCTCCGGCCGCTGCCATTATTGCAAAGAGAACTCAGAAAAACTCTCTAGGAGTTTATTATAACCTTCACAATTGCGGCAGCAACAATGGATATACGGCGGACCTCCTTGTTCAACTCATATAGTGGCGATTTACTCTTGCCCGTGAACTCTTTCTCGCACGCACTGACCTCAACAGCAGCATCATTTGTTCCTTTCTGTGCAAATTTGTAGTTTCCTGTGTCTAATGCAGCCATGGTTTGCGGGATGTCTCCATTTAGGATCACATTGTAACGTTCTGCACATACACCCAATGCTTGTTCTGTTGCTGGGTCTAGGGTGAGCTCGTCCTGGAGAAGGTCATTGATCTGATCAAGGGCGTCAGATGCCTTGGAGTCAAGTGATGTCACAATGATCTTAGCTAGCCCGCAGATGTCTGCATCAGCGCTTTTGGGGTTGGATTTGAGAGTGGAGACACAAAGTTCGTAGTAAGGTGTCTGCTTGCATGTGTGGTCGATTAGGTTGGAGAGTCGGATGATACTTGTGAGGCGAATGGCATTGACTGGGAAGATGAATAGGAGGAAGAGCAAAAAAATCTTCATGTTTTTTTATCTATTCTCTGTGAAGGATGAGTGTTGTTGCGTGAATTAAGAACTTGATGTGTGGATATTGTTGTGATTTCTAAAGCTGCTTTTTATAATGGATGTGGAGTTGATTTAATTCAAAATTATTCACTAGAGAAAAGGGAAATCGTTACCCATTCATCCTTTTGAAATGCTCTCCAAAGGGCCTCCTCTCTCCCCTTTAAGTTCGCCTCAGAAAATGCCTTGAGGAGAGGGTATGACCCAAAAACATAGTTGAAAGTGTAAACAATAAATTTTCCCGTTTGGTCTAGTTGACAATGCTTTGTAGTAGTTCTATTTGGATAGATTTTTTATAAATCAAGAATTCTTAAATACAAGGTAAAAGTACATAATAGTTTTATTTTCAAAAAAAAAAAAATTACTTTTTAAATAAAAGTATTTTATTTAATTAAAATTTAATTAAAAATAGAAAAGACCATCTATCAAAATAAAATATAAAGGGAATATAATCATTAACAATTTAAAAAACTTAACAAAAATGATAAATTTAAAGACCAATAAAGATTTACTGCAGAAGAAACATGATTCGAGCTTCAACTAATGACCTTCTAGATCTAGATGCTATTTTTAGCTTTAAGATAAATCAGAAAACCTTCCAAGAGAGCTTCTTTTCATCCATTGTCAACTTTTGCCGGAAAGAAAATCATTTTAAAAGAGGAGGCAGTCCAACTCCAAGTTATTTGGTGTTAAAAAGGAAATAATTATTCGATAAGCTTTACCATATTAGTATGACTTTATTCTTCAATACAAATAAAATTTGGTTTGACT